CAATTGCATGGGAAGGTGTTATGGTGATGTAGGATTGGGTCAGGAATGGAGGAGGAAGGACTAAGGTATACCAAAGGGAATGGTCCCTGAGGAAAGCTAACTGGGGAGGAGAAGGAATATCTGTCTGGAGTTGGCATCCTGATGGATAGTAAGTGAGAAGCGGGGGACCATATCACTGTTGTGGGAGGGAAGAAAAGGGGTGTGGGAGTGCAGGAGATGAGTCGGACACGCATGAGGACCCCAACAAACACAGTGGTTGGAACTTCTCAGTTGAGGAAGAAGGTGGACATTTTGGAGGCCCGATTGTACATGCTGGCATTATTGGAACAGATACAACAGAGGCAACGTCTTTATGGGAAACAGGGTGTGAGTGATAGAGTCATACAGCATTAAAACAAACCCTTCGGTCCAACCAGTCCAAGCTGAACATGATCCCAAACTAAACTAGTCCTATCTGCCTGCTCCTGGCCCATATCGCTGCAAACTTTCCTATTCATATACTTGTCCAAATGTCTTTTAAATGTTGTAATTGTACCCACATCCACCACTTCCTCAGGAAGTTCATTTCACAGGCGAACCACGCACTGTGTAAAAGACTTGCCCCTCGTGTCTTCTTTGAATCTGTCTCCTCTCACCTTAAAAATTTGCCCCCTTGTCTTGAAATCCCCCATCCTAGGGAAAAGGCAACTACCATTAGCTCTATCTATACCTCTCAATATTTTATAAACTTCTATCAGGTCACCTCTCAACCTCCTACACTCCAGTGAAAAAAGTCTCAGCCTATCCAGCCTTTCTTTATAACTCAAACCTTCCCTACCCAGCAACACCCAGGTAAATCTCTTCTGAACCCTCTCCAACTTAATAATATCCTTCCTATAACTGGGTGACCAGAACTGGATACAGTAGTCCTGTAGGACCTCAACATGCTTTCCCAACTCCTATTCTCAAATGACTGAGCAATGAAGGCAAGCGTGTCAAATGCCTTTTTAACCACCCTGTCTATATGTGACACAAACTTCAAAGAATTATGTACCTGCACCCCAGGTCCCTCTATTCTACAACAATACCCAAGGGCCTACCATTAATTGTATAAGCCATGCCCTTGTTTGTCGTACCAAAATGCAATACCTCGCATTTATCCAGATTGAACTCCATGTGCCGTTTTTCAATCCATTGACCCATTTGATCAAGATCCCTCTGTAATCTTAGAAAACCTTCTTCACTGTCTACTATGCCACCAATTTTGGTGTCATTTCCAAACTTACTAACTATGCCTTCTATATTTTTATCCAGATCATTTATATAAGTGACAAACAAAAGAGGACCCAGAACCAATCCCTGTGGAACACCAGTGGTCACAGGTCTGCAGTCTGAAAAGCAACCCTCCACCACTTTCTGTCTCCTGCAATTAAGCCAATTATGTATCCAATTGGCAAGCTTGCCCTGAATCCCATGTGACCTAACTTTACTAATTAGTCTACCGTGCAGAACCTTGTCAAGGACTTTATTAAAATCCAAATAAACAATGTCACCTGCTCTCCATCATCAATCTTTTTGGCAACTTCCTCAAAAAACTCAATCAAGTTTCTGAGACATGATTTTCCTCAGACAAATCCATGCTGACTATCCCTAATCAATTTTTGCCTCTCTAAATGTCCATAAATCCTATCTCTTAGGGTCATCTCCAACAATTTACCCACAACTGAAGTCAGACTCACAGGTCTATAGTTCCCCAGTTTCTCCTTACAACCTTTCTTAAACCAAGGTACAACATTAGGCACCCTTCAGTCATCAGGCACCTCACTTGTGGTAATAGATGATGCAAATAGTTCTGCAAGGGGTCTCGATTCGAAGTGGGAGTTGGTGGGTTTGTAGTGGAAATCAGTGGCCAGCCTATCCCCAGAAATGGAAACAGAGAAGTTGATAAAGGGAAGGGGAGAGTCAGAGATGGACCAGGCGAAGGTGACAGCAGGGTGGAAATGGGAAGTAAAAGTGTTAAACTTTTCTAATTCTGATCGAGAAAAGGAAGTCGCACCGATTATGTCATCATGTACTGGAGACAGAGTTGTGGGAGGGGGCCCGAGTAGAACTGCAACAAGGAATGTTTCATGTACCCCACAAAGAAACAAGCATAACTGGGGTACCCATGGCCACACCTTTGACTCGAAGAAAGTGACAGGAGTTAAAGGAGAAGTTCCTTGATGTTCAATGGCATTCCCATCACTGAGGTCCATCTGTCAACATCGTGGGCGGTTAAAATTCTCCAAAATCTTAACTGGACCAGCCACATAAATACTGTGTTTACAGCAACAATCTAGGGATTTGGCTGTGAGTAATTCCTTTATCTTAGCGATGCTTGCCCAGCATCTACAAGGCATAAATCAGGAGTACGAAGGAGTACCCCACTCTTGCCTGCATGAGTGCAGTTCCAGCATCACTCAAGAAGCTGGATTCCATTTTGCACATTGCAGCTGCTTGACTGCCACCCCATTTGCCATCTTCCACATTCACTTCATTCACCATTGACGCATAGTTGCAGCAGTGTGAGCTACCTAAAAGACTATCTGCATTGTCTCACTCAGGCTCCTCTGACAGCAGTTTCCAAGCCTATGACCTCTACCAGCTAGAATGACATGGGCGCAAGACGCATGGAAACAGTTCCACCTGCAACTTCCCCTCCAAGTCACACATCACCTTGACTTGGAACTATATTGCTGTTCTTTCATTGTCACTGGGTCAAGGTCTTGGAATTCCCTTCTTAACAGCAATTTTTTTTTAATCCATGGTATGTGGGTAGTGCTGGCCAGGCCAGCATTTATTGCCAATCCCTAACTGTTCAGAGTCAACCACACTGCTGTAGGTCTGGAGTCACATGTAGGCCAGACCTGGTAAGGACAACAGTTTCATTTCCTAATAGGCATTAGTGGACCAAATTTTCTTTATTAAATTTAAATTCCACCATCTGCCATGGTGAGATGTGAACCTGGGTTCCCAGAACATTACCTGAGTAACAGTAATAGCACTACGCCTTCACCTCCCCCATTCAACAAGGGAGCTCCACAGTTTTTATCTGAGCTGAGAATTGTTCAGATCAGCTGCAGCAGCTCCGTAGTCCTAATTGATGTCAGTGACTTCAGGAAAGGGCAAGGGAGTAAGTAGTTAAGGAAAGTAACTTGATAAAGGTGCTAGTTGACAAATAAGGCAGGAAAGGAGAATTAAGAGAAGTGTAGCCAGCAGGGATGGTGATCGGGAGGAATGCAGTGGAGGCATGGTGTGATTGCATAAGAGAGGGTGCAGAGGAAATTCACCATGATGCTGCAATTCATTTATGAAGAACAACAAAATTGGCTGGGTCTGTTTTCTTCAGAGTAGAGAAAGCTGAGGGAAAACCTGACTGTGGTATGCAAAGTTGAAGGGGGTAGACAGGGAGAAACTCTTCCCCTTAGGACTCAATAACCAGGAACAGTTTTAAAGTAAGGAGCCTTCCCCTGCCTTCCGTTACCCCCTTCTCCACCTTCCCTTCCCCACTTCCCCTGCCTTCCCTTACCCAGCCTTTCTCTGTACCCCTCTTCCCTCCACTACTTCCCTTGTTTTGTGTTCCCTCCCATGTCCCACTTGCCCTCTCCCCTCACCACTGTCATCACCATTGCCCCTCCCCGTGCCCCTGTCCCACCCCCTTGACCTCCTGCCCCACTTTTGTCTCCGTTCCTCCCCCTCTATCACTGTGCTTGGCACTGTGCCTTGCATCCTTCCCCCTTGAACTCTTCCACCTTTTCCCCCTAGTAGAGGGGTCAATAAATGGCAGCACAGTTTTAAAGTAAGGAGCAACAGATTTAGATGGATTTGAAGAAACATTTTTCACCCAGATGATGGTGGATATCTGGAACTCATGCCTAAAAGATGGTTGAGGCAGGAATCATCAAAACATCTAAGAAGTATTTAGATGAACAATTAAAACACCACAGCATACAAGGCCATGAGTCAAGTGCTGGAAAATGGGATTAGATGACAGAGATAGATGCTTGATGACTGGTGCATTCACAAAGGGCCAAGGGACCTCTTTCCATGAATTAAAAACTCTATGAACACAGGACATGACAGGAGAATGTAAAAAGGTATGGTCAGCAGGTTTGGAGGTAGACAGTGATGCAGTGGAAAAGGTACCCAGATCGGCTTGAACTTAATGAAGACAGGTAAAGGTGGGTGAGTGGCTCCAGTTGAATTGTATTTGCAGAGTCAGCAGCTGTCACCATTATATATTTTTAATCAATTTGTTCAAATGTGCTATCACACACCTTTGGAGTTGGATAGAGTGGACATAGCGATGACGTTTCCACCAGGAAGAAAGACTCGGATACGAGGGCATGGCCTCCAAGTGACTGGACAACTGTTTAGAACTGAAATACAGAGGAATTTCTTCAGCCAGAAGGGAATGAATCTGTGGAACTCAATGCCGCAGAAGGCTGTGGATGCCAATTCACAATCTTTAAGGCAGAGATAGACAGGTTCTTGTACAGTGAGGGGATTGAGGGTTACAGGGTGAAGGCAGGAGAATGGGATTGAGAAACACATCAACCATGATCAAATGGTAGTGCAGACTCGATGGGCTGAATGGCCTAATTCTGCTCCTCTATCTTAATATTTAGCTGGTGGGAATATGAACCTGGGACTTCTGACTCAGAGGTCGGGACACTACCACTGTGCCACAACTGCGTCCATATTATGGGTGATGGAATTACCGAAGATTTTGTGGATAGCTTTAATCAACCGCTTTTGACATATTTTGACACTGCTCTGAGAGAGATGGGACTCTTATCTCGGAGATTTGGATGTTTTCACTGCGCCACGAAAGCCCCAGCCGTCACCATTTTAGAATTGGATGAAAAAACAAACCGTTGGTCCAAATGAGTTCTGCTCTCGATTGTCCATCAGAACGGCCGGTCCACTGCGCAGGCGCAGTAACTGATCGTCTCTCGATTGCTTCAGTTTGGACGGGCCGATTGACTCTGAGATCGATGCATTGTCCTCTCGCCGTGACGTCCATCGCTTTCAATATGGCGGTGGCGGTGGTTGTGGTATCAGGAACGGAGGCAGCTTTCGGAAGAAACTTCCGGAGAGCGGCTTGGAGTTGAGTACTGCCTACGCGAGGCTGATGGATGGGTCGCGACCTGAGCAAATAAGCGGCGCCCCAGGCGGAACTCAGCCGACCGGCACGCGGCTTAATGGCGACCCGAGCGATGCCCCGGCTTCCTCTCCGTCCCGGAAGGTTCGACTCCAGGAGCGGGGGGCAGGTGAGAACTGAGGGGCCCGCCATCGGGCGGTATTTTTGCGGGAGGAACGTGAGGGTAATGACTTGAATCACTTTACTAGCCTTCTCCTTACCACCCCAACCACCACCACCCTGCCAGCCTTCCCCTTACCTCCTCTCTCCACCTACTCCCTCCCCTCTACACCTTCCACCCACCCCTGCCTTCCCTCTTACCACCCCATTTCTCCCATACCACCCCACTTACTCTCGCAAGCCCACCCCCCCCCCACCAACTTCGGCTTTCCCCTAACCACAGTCCACCCCAAGCCCCCTCCGCCGGCTTTCCCCGCCCACCCATCCCCTGTAAGTGAAGAAAGTGGCATCAGTACTTGATTACTGAGAACCAGTACTTTGCTGTCTGTGGTGTGAATTGGTTAAGTTGTGGTTTTCTTGTCCACATCAGCCTCCGTTTCCTAATTTTGTGATAGTTCCTTTTTTCATAATTTCACCAGCAAGCTTTAGTGAATAAATTTATTGTTTTTCAAATTTAAATGCACGCATGAGAATGACAGTGGCAAATATTTATCTGAAAAATATAAATTCTTGATAAGAAATATGTAGAAGAGGAAGTTGTGCAGTGTCCTGCTTCAGTGTAGATAGTGTGAATTCAACATCACTTTGGCACTAAATTTGTGTAAACGTGTTCTAAAAATCAATTAATCTATTCTGTTATCAGTCAGTAGTGTGTGCACTTATGACAGTGTTATGACTAGGTGAGTTAGGGTGATTTGGCTCCCCTCCTTTTCACCACCTCTTGGTTAGTGACAACAAATGTTTTTATTTTTTGTATCATGCAGCTCTCATGCTTTACTTAAAAAGTAGCATTAGTCAAATATTAAGGAGCCAATTATAGAATTTTCTTGAGTGAAAGAAAAGGGAATTTTACTATCTACTGAATCGACTAGTGATAAACCGCAGAATTATACATAGACGTGGACACGGGTAATACGTTTAAAAGAGAGACTGCCTTGTATAGACAGGAAGAATGGAGATCCTTACGTTTCTTGATGTTACAATTTTTATCGGGAGACTATGGTTGTTGAATTGTTGACACATATTCTCAGTAGTGGCAAAGTTTGCAGATATTTTGAGCTCTCATTGGTTGTTTCCCCAATTTGCTTATCTTCTCAGAGGCTGATAGAAACTGCAAGAGACTTCCAGCTCTCTTTGCAAATCCATTCATTCTTTCTCTCTGCGCTGTTGCTCAAGAAAAGTTAAAATATGATTTCTTGATGTATTTCCAGGTATGGTTCCATTGTGTTCACATGCTGAACGGTTGTTGGCAGCTTTTGTCTTGTAGATGCACTTACCTAATTAAACTGATTACTTAATAATGTGAATTTCTTGATGTTGACTCGTTACCTGGTCTCAAAGTCTTCGGCTAAAATGTTAATTTCAGCGGAGACAATTTCATTTCTCCCACTCTGGTTTCTTGAACTTGCCTCAATCCATGATCTGGAATTGCAGAAGCTACTTTAGGTCAGTTTGTCTTTTTTTTTTAAATAGTTTTGCCCACTAAAGATCTTTGGTATTATGATCAGATGATTTAAATTAAAATTCGATAGTCCATATTTACCACTATAATTCTTCAAGTTATAATAACGTCTAAAAATAATTCTAAATTCCTTCTTGACGATTTACTGATTATCCTGGAAACTTTTGTCAAGTGATGAATGAGAAAGAGCTGTTAAAAAACTGGAAAAATTGATAGTCCACGATCAGTGACTGCACAGATATGAAAATTAGCTGAGGCAGAGTACATAGCTGTTATTTGTCAAATCGGAAAGAACTACCTGGTGTTGTGTGCCAGGAATCAGTTTTATGTGAATGATATGGACTTTGGTATGAAATGCATAATTTAAAAGTTTGCAAATGGTCCATAGTTTGAAAAATAAATCAACAACAAAGCAGATTGCTGGAGTTATTGACTGGTTAAAGGAAAGATAATTTGGTAAATAGCATTTAATGAGAAGTGGAAAGTGACATAATTGGGAAGGGCAATGAGGAAAAGCAGTGTAAAACAAATGATCAAATTGTAAAGATACAGGAGCAGGAACGCGTACACTTGAGAAACACAAATGTTGAAATGTTATGAGCCAAGTTAAATAAGTTGTTCTTAAACCATTTTTTTCTTTAATGGATATCATTCGTTGGTGATATAAAGGTATAGGGTGCAAAGAAGTTGTAGTAAAGCTTTACAAATCACTTTTTTTTATCAATTCTGGGTTAGAAGTTTTAGAGGATATTTTAACCAAATTGTATCAATGGCAATGGACCGACTAAATGGAGAAATGGGAAAAGTAAGGCCTCTGGCTGTGCTAGAGAAAATATTTCCTCTTAGATTTGTGTATCAGCAAAACTGCAGCCACTTTTGTATCCACCTCAGGTTATGCCCGTTAAGAAGTTTCCCTTCAAAAAAAGGGTGATTTAATAGCAAGAGACAACAAGGTGCAGGGCTGGATGAACACAGCAGGCCAAGCAGCA